TTTTTTTTGGCGTCTTTCGTTCTCTGACGCAAAAATACCCGCGCGCAGTTGTCAGATGAGGGCAGTACTTCAATTTCTTTTTCCGCAGCTGCCAGGCTCGTCGCCTTTAATTGACTGGGTGTCGCAATCTCTCGTTCTCTCCCTCCCCCTCCCTTTCTGGTGAAGAGCGAAGTGAGTGTGCCATTGCGTACTGTAGGAGTGGGGTTGGAGGATTGGTAAGGCGGCGCCTCCTCGGCAGCGGAGGGAGGTGCTCACAAAGAAAGCTACGAAAATCAAAGAAGACCAGTGAGGAGCAGGAAAGTGAAAAGGAAGAAAGATAGTTCAGGTGCTTTTTTTTTTATTTGCCTTTGAGTTGACCAGGATGGGGATTTGTTTAATTAATGTATTGCATTCATATGAGTGCTGATTGCCTCTTCCATTAAGAGTAGTGTGTGAGAACACACATGCTCCGCATTGAAGCCCTCCCCTTCCGCACAGAAACACCCCCTCAATCATTTGCTGTTTCTGGGGCAGAAGAGCTTTCGTCTTGACGGGTTCACACAATATCTTCTCAAAGTTGCGAATGGGTACCACAGTAGACCACTCCATGTACTGTGAATTCGAAGAGCGCATTTATTTGTGTGAGTGTGCGCTTATGTTTATTTATTTATTTATTGTCTGGTGGGTTGTGTCACTTGGAGGCTTGTATTCTTACCTTTCTCCTTTCCTCATTCTCGGTTATCAGCGAGGGCTGCCCTGGTAGTTATACATGCATGGGGTGGACAATGAGTATAGTGGCAAGCACATGGCGTGGAGGCTGCAGGTCTTGCCCCGATCACGCTGAGTTGCTGCTGTTGTCGTTGTTGCTTCTTTTTTTCCAGGCGGTACCTTCCTGTGGTGAGGAGTCACTAGCCACGCGAAAGTTGCTCACCCTTGGACTCATCACAGACAGCCACTACGACACATTTCCAGCGGGGGAGAAGGCACCATGGGAGAGCATGCATCACTGGCTGCATGAGCAGCGCAAGCGTACAACCACCACAACACTGCGCCGCTACGATCTTGCGAGGGACAAGATGGACGAGGCCATATCGCTCTTCAACAGCGTGACAGATATGAATTTGGTGGTGAACTTGGGAGACCTTGTGAACAACGACTTGATGTGGAATTTGAAGCCGATTCTGGACAGCTATCACCGCGCAAAAGCACCACACTACAGTGTTTTGGGCAATCATGATCTACGCGCGCACAATGACCGCTTTGGAAAACTCAACAAGACACAGGAGGAGTGGCTGATGAAGAAGTTGGGGCTGCATCGCCGGTACTACACCGTCGATCACCCGCCGTTCCGATTCATCTTTTTGGACTCCATGACTAATGACTTGGAAAACACCAATACCACGACAAAAGAGGCACAAACAAAGTGGCTAAAGGAAGAGCTGGACCTGGCCAAAGCAGCGGAGCGCGTGACGATTCTGTTTGCCCACATTCCCATTGGTTTTGAAACGAACCTGCTGGGGCCACTCCTCAAGTCATATGACCAGATGCCGTTGGTGTTCTCTGGGCACAACCACAAGGGGGATTATGTCGTCCAGGGGCCGCACCGTGTTCACTGCATTACTCTGGCAGGCCAAATTGAGACACTATCCAACGCCTTTGCGGTGGTGGAGATCTTCGAGAACCGTGCGGAACTAACGGGCTTTGGGCGGGTGCCCTCGCGTATTCTGCATTTCCAGCCACATGTAGTGGATTTGCTTCGGCGATATCAAGGGCCTCTAAGGCACAACCTGACGACGCAAGGCTTCCAGCCTCCCTTGCCAGACGAGCTATGGGCCAATGAAGTGCTGCAAAAACCACCCAGTCTTCAGTTGAATATTCCGCACTACAGAAAACCATTGTTGCCTGGAGCAGCGGTACAAACTCCTCCACAGACCCGTTTTACCAATGAGGTGTTGCCTCTATTGAAAAGGGATATGGTATCCATTCGTGGTCGTGAAGAACCCGTGGATCTCACCTCTGCGACGCGGAAGCGTACGCTTCTGATCAACGGAGTGAAGGTTATTTCTGAGACAGATGTGTTGCCTCCTGCTGGGGGTCTCACTCCTGTTAATGCTGGGAGCACAGGAACTGAAACAGATTCCCTGCTCGAGAAGGAGACTGTTCTAACCTTTGCGTTGTGGGCGCCTGTAGTGGGACTTTTTTTTCTCCTGTTATGGACTCTGAAAAAGAGGCGCCGCTTGAAATGGCGTGACACTGTGTACACAAAGCCGTAGTTGCTGTTGTTGTTGTTGTTGTTTTCGTGTATGTCTGTGTGTCTGTCTGTGGAGACGTGGCCACGTTTATTTCTGTTGGCCTCATTCTGTACACACCTCTGATGGAAAGCTAATGGGTGTATCATGTGGATAACTTATCCGAGGTAATTTTTACTCTTTCTATATAGACCTCATTTCTATTTCACCCCCTGACTAAGGAAGATCGATGGCAAGTATGAGTGTGGAAGCTGGATCGAATGTTCATGTGTACATCCGTCTACTGCACCCATGCACGCCAGGTCTTCCACAGTCGTTAACTACGGCATGTCGTGCAGTCAACGATGATGAGGAGGAAGAGGAAAAGGAACTGGCGATAGAAGTTGGAAAGACCGCTTGCCCAAATGGTGTCCCATATCTCGTATTACCCAACTCTGTGCGAATGCAAGGAAGTGGTACAAACATTCTCTTCCAGAGCGGTTGCATTGATGGTAACAAAACTACAGCAACGTTGGGCGAGGCTGCCTGGGAAGAGTTGTGGCGTACGGGATCATTTTGGTATCTGTACTGTGTCTCGCCTCACACTCCTTCTGAAGGACCGCATGAGACACAGGATTCGATGCTGCAGTACATGGTGGAGCGCATCGTTAATGTTGCATCTCCCCTAACGGCTACTGTTTTGCTGTGGACAGAGGGTAGTGGGTCACTGCTAGGTTCAACGTACACGCCATCGTGGCGGCGTTGCAGCAAAAGAGTTTACGAATTGACGGATTGTGACACTTTGTTAAGATTGGTAAATATGAGTCTTCTGGATTCTGACGAGGAGGCGACTTCATTCCGTTTTTCTTTGGTGAGTGTCGCCTTCACCGACCCGGATTCAGGGCGCACATATGAAATTGTGGTCGCTACTGTCCACGCTCGCTTTGATGTACTTTCAACAAGGACATCCAACTCCCTCGTCGCGGTACGCAATTGGTTCGCCAACATTGCGTGGATGCCGGCAGGACAAACGTTGGGGAAGCAGAACGACGAGGGTGCTGTCCATGAGATGGAGGCATGGGCAGCAGGTCTGCTGCCCACTGAGGTGACCAACTTTATTTTCACCCACCTCTACAACCCCGTGGAGGATGAAGGTTTCCAGTTCACCCGTCCACTGCCGCCACGAATAGTGTACGCCATTTTGGAAATACACGGGGATGCTCCTAGCGTGGGTGATAGAGAGTGGCACAGTGACGAGAGTGCACAAGCTGCAATGCTTCGGTACCTAGAGTTCTGGTCTTCATTGGGGGCACTTGTGTTGGAAGACGATGACAACACCACCACTCTTTTTCAAAGAAAGGCCACTAACAGAGGCCTTGAAGGTGTGTCGTGCGAAATGTTAAATGACGCCAAACAGTGGCTGCTATTTCTTCTCGCAAATCCTGCAATGGCTCCCCAACTGATGGAGGAGTGGGACAGCGCAACAAAAGACGATAGAGGTAATGTAAGCGCTGGAAACAGGCTTCTTGTTGCCCTTGAACACATGCATCGTGTGGTACAGCGGGCGAGACAGAAGGGAATGCAGCGAAGGGTGAGGAATCTTCTGCGATCGGATTCCATCCACGGTGCGCCTCCATCAAGTCAGAGCTCGCGAATCACCCAAATAGTCGACCGTTTTGGCGTCGAAAATCAGGCTCTGATGTGGTGTCAGCGGCTTGAGTGGAAGTACTACACCATGCTCTCTGGTTTCCTCAGTGAAGTTCAGCGCTCAACACGCAATGACGTTGCACCATCTCCGCCACCACAGTTGCAGCAGCAACAACCTGTAGAACATGTGGACTCGGCCCACAAGAAGGAAGAGGACACAATACACTCAGAGGGGCCAGTCCAACGAAACGACTCGAAGTCTCCTGTTGTTGTTGCTTCTGCCACAGAAAAGGAGTCGGGGACATCATCAATCACCTCACATAACTCTAACCAGTCAGTGATATGCCACCCAGTGCGAGTTGTGACTCATCACACTTCAGCACCGCTGTTTGACCCTGTGAGGCGTTTATTGGAAGCAGAGGCTGTCAGACGGATTCATATAAAGCTCAACGCCGCACAGTCGTTACAAGCATTTCTGTTCTCAAGTGTGCATGGTATGCGGTGCTGCTATGGGCAATTAGCGGCTTCACTGGATTCTTTAACTAGTGCACAGCGAGACATTGAGGGTCTACGGCATAGTGAATCACTTGTGTTTCATCGCGACCTCCTCACTTTTCAGAGCTTGGTGCACTGCTGTATGTATGCTGCGGATGTACTCCTGCGGCGATTGTTGGAGGGGTTTCAGCTCAAATTAGAGTGGTTCACAGAGGCGCTTACGCATTTACGTCAACAGGACAAGACTGACAGATGTCGTAAGCATTCCACCTCGTGTGATGCCGCCGTACAGATTCCTGCTCCTATGCTGCTTGGAAATGCGCTGAATCAGGGGTATGGCGACCATAGTGACTTAAAGCAATTTTTGCCCATAGTGAACGAAGCGCTTCACCAGCCTGGGCTCGAGGAAGTTTCTTCCTCCACTAATTCGGTCTACATGCCGGACAACAAGAGTGTGGCGTCTCAGGAGAAAGTTGCTGAGGATGTAGAATTTCCAGAAGAGTCTGAAGTGCGCCCAGAGGATTTGCTACCGCCCCCGGCTGTGACGACAAGAGCAGAAGCGACCACAAAAGCAACATCTACCACCACGTCGAAGGGGAAAGGCGGTCATGAGACTATAGGGGCAAATGGGGCGCCAGCATCAGAAGTGGTAGAGAACGAGAAGGAGGAAAAGAAAATAAGGTACGCTCGGCGCCACCCAGTGGAGAACTGTATTGAAAATGATAGGCGTGTCAAGGGTGGTGTGGCTCCTTCGGTGCGGTTCCACCGCCTTCGTCGTCTCAGTGCAAGCGTTCCTCTACGCCAATCTTGCTTTCGGCATCTACTCTCCACAGGGCGTAGCGTAGGTGTTGACAAGCAGCAAAACGGTGGCAAACTACCCGCACTAAGTTTTGATGATATTAAAAAGGAGCGGGAGCACTGGAATACGGCAGGTGACCTCGATGACTACCGAAGGTTGCTGGCGTATAGTGTGTACGTGGTTGGTGAGGCAAGGTGTGGCAAGTCAAGCCTACTGCACCGCCTCTCGCGTGACACGCCCTCTTCATCTGCCAGGCCCCCAACGGTGGCGCCCCACACAATGACGATGAAGCGCGTCTCAGCAATTGTCGATGTGCCCTTGTGGAGGGGCCCTCTTCCGTTGGGAGGGTGCAGCAATGTTGTGTTCTCCGATGTGCAGGAATGGATGAGTATTACCTCAGAGGTGTGCGAGGCGCAGACCTGTCGTGTCGGGGTGAACTTTGTGGAGATGCCAGGTCCGTTTTTGTTAGCAGCCAGCATGGGGCATGTGAAGCTTCCGATCCGGGGCGCCGTGTACTATATTGTATACCGAATGCAAGACAGCTTGGATGCGATACAACACTCAATATGGAAGCATGTGGTCAGGCTACAATCAGCTGTGGCGCTTCCGAGTTCACACGTTGTTGACCTTATGAAGAGCGACGCTGACGCAGCAGGGGATATACGCATGACATCACTCCCCTTACCGGTGGTACTGGTAGGCACACACGCTGATCTCATGCCCGAATTGATTTTGACAGAGCAGCAAGACGCGGCGCAGAAGCGACTGTGTGAGATAACCCGCTGGTTTGAGCAGCAGATTGAGTGGCAGACAGAAACGGCAGGGGACAGTGTACCGCGGCCCCTGCTTGTAGACGCGTGCCTCACCAGTGCGTGCAACAGTTTGGTTATTAGTAAAGGCCTTGATGGGGCAATTTCTATTCCGGTTTTCCTTCAGCGCACGCTGCAGTTTCTCCATCACACCGCGCCACTGAGTCCACTTCATGTTTTGGCACGATGGCTTCCACGGCGCTTCATCGCTGAGGAAGTACTTAAAAAAGGTCACATGCATGACGGTGCAGAAGCTGTACCCACTGCAAAAGATGGCTGCAATACTGCGGATCATACACTCGAAGGATTTTGGGCAGCACAGTGCCTCCACCACAGCCGCGGCCACGAGCTACGTGATAATGGGGAGGCTGGAAACCAGCAGCAGCAGCAGCAGCAGCGAGATGGCAACGCTTCGCTCCCAAGTTCTTCGCAAACCCTGGTAGAGTGGTGGAGGGGCAGCTTGGAAGGTCTCCTTGTTCTCTTCACCGCACTGCAACGTCTGCGCCAATACATTTCGTGCTCCTTCGAAGAGCAGTCCCTGGACAACGCGGTGCTGTACCACCTGGGGTTTGCCCGCTCCGATGATCCCGATGAGACATCAACGGACGCCGAAGTGGAATTAAGTCTCCGGGAAAGAGATGTGTTTCTTGAGTCTCTATTTGAAGAGTGTCGTCTGCGCGGTGTATTGCTGTTTCTCCCGTTCCAATCGCTCTCCCAGGTGCCAGAAAGTAGTTGCGGGGGTGCAGCACAACTTGCAAGTTGTCAAGCATTCACCACGGGGGACGTGAATCGACCGCTGTGCATGGTGACGGTCGGTCCCGAGTGGGTAGAGCACCTCTGGGCACAGACGTTGGCACCGCGGATGGTGGTACACCACGCCGTGTCGGCTCTGCAGGAAGCCGGCATTGGGCTCAGAGACGCTTTGATGGGTGTTCTTGAGCAGTGTGTGGAGCAGCTTGGATACACATTTCCCATTGCGTGCTTTGCCGCGGTGTGGCCTCAGATTGCAGAGTCTGCGTCCGAGGACGCCACGGAAAGCAGTGCTGACAATATCGATAAGATGCAGGGATATTTTTTCCTTTATTTCAAGAAGGGGTTTGTCTCAATTGCGCTTCTGCAGCTATTGTGGCGATCGCCCTACGCAGCCCTCGCCACTCACGAGACTAATGCGGCAACGGGCTTGATGGCATGTGGATTGATATGCGAAGGGCAAACACTGGAGAAGGAAGAGGTGGAGGAGGGGGAAGAAGTAGGTATGATGAAGAGTGGTATTACGGGCTTCCACGTGCCGTGCACTGTATTGACAGCTAATGAAGATTTGTAGGTTTATTGAATATGAAGGAATTGTGATAAAAGTCCAACTCAATATTTCCTCTCTGTGCATTTTTCTCGCAAGTTCTAATGTTTACTTTATTTCTTTCTTTCCCATAATGGAGTTGCTGCTGTACTGAACAGAAGGGCAGTAACTACCTCAAGCGAGAATGGTGTTCTTGCATACACACACACACTTCAACCCGAGCTCTTATCGATGGTGCTCCTCCTCCGCGTGTGTTCCTGTGTATATATATATATATATATACCTTTTTGGATGTGAGGTTGTCTTGTTTCTTGTTAAGATTTATTCCCTCCTTTGTTCTTTCTACTTATTCACACGCAGAAGATAGATTAATGATGGTACCCTGTTGTGATGGCCCCTCAGTCTATGTTGGTGCACTCGTGGTAGAGATTGCCAAAGTCATGGAGGAGAAGGCCTACAGGCGCCACATGCAGCCCCGCTTGTCAACAAGGCAGCGGGCGCATCTCTGGGCGCTGCGGAGTCAGGCACTGTTTGGTGATGCGCCTGACGACCTTGAAGGACACGGGCGGAATGGAGGTGCAAGTAAAAATGAAGGGAAACAAGTTGCTTTGAAGGGTGTTCCGGTTCTCAGTGGACTGGATCTCCCACAGGGGCCCTCTCACTGGTATCAGTTTACGACACGTTTGTACTACTCAGCGTGGGTCGCGCTGCGGGGGACGATGAGCCCGCAGGTTGCCGCCGAGGCATTGTGCACTGAGTTCTTCTACTTATTGAAGGTGCATCGCGTACCCGCCATGCTGGTTGTCATGGAGGCCGCTCTCAGCACCGCACGTGCCAAAGCTACAGCTGCTGTCGCGATGAATGTCACAGGAAATGGTACCTATAATAAGAAACTCACGGCGTTATGTGAGGGTTTCTATGTCCGCGGGTACCACGGAGACCCTGCAGTGATCGCATTCCTATGGCTCTGTCGTGCTCATTTTATCCCGTGCGAGGTAGACTTTGAACCGTTCGCTCCCAATAAATCTCAGGGCGCAGACAATATGTTCCTCGTTAGGTCGTTGGCGCACAACGCGGTAGTCACAGAACCTTTGGCGGCGTTCATGCTCTGCGTGGAGCTGTATTTGTCGCCCGGTGAGCACTGGTTCGGGGTGCAGCCGCTTGTTTCTTCTTCGGTGACCCATGCAGCTTCTGTAGTGGAAAAGAGTGCGTGGACGGAGTACATGCAGCATGTTTTGGTCGACCTCCGAGCACCATTGTTACAGTTTATGAGAGAGATGATCTCCCTTGAAAGGTCCAATGAAAAATCACAAAAGACTCAGCTGTCCGCACGGCGTCTGGACAGCCAATGTGAGGAACTATCAACAGTTGTCATGAAGGCACTCATGTGTTACGAGCGCTTCGCTTACCATTATTATGGAACTCGTTCGAAATCCACGGTTTCTGTGGCTGACTTGTGCGTGGCCGCGTATAGCTTTGTAGTGTGCACAAACCCACTCTGCAAAAGCCTATTCCGGTCGCTAGATGTGGTGTCGTCCCCCACAGGACACACTGGCGTGGAAATAGGCTCGCAGCGGACGCAGCGAGGACCGCTCTACAGTTACGAGAACTCTGGAACAGACGCGGGGCAACCAACTGCAGTGGAAAATACTAGCACACTGTTCAGCGGCATCCCACAGACGTACCAAGAAATAGCATCGCGTATCCTGCAAGGAGCGGTCGTCGCGTCTCCTGTTACAGTCCGCGTAGGCGAAGAAGATGGAAGAGAGCGGTTTTTAAAGAAGAAAACGCCATTCACAACAGGCCTTAGGCTCCTTAAATCAGACTCGCCGTGGAGCGGCTTGGCACCTGGTACAAATGAGGCAGCCATGTTAGTAATAGACCGTTTGATTCAAAGCACATTCCGACCTGTGCGGCACCGACTCGCGGATATTTTTTCTTATGTGTGGTGCAAAGCGAACGAGCAGTGTGTTGCCTTCCCCTTCCTTGTGCTTGACAAGGAGCAGCAAGCATTTGTCACGACATCAACCACCGACGCCGTTTCCCTTTCACGTTGTGGAGCTCCATGGATGGAAGGAGGTGTCGTAGAAGTGGCACGATCGTACTGGCTGAAGTTGCGTTCCGCCTTTGGTGCACCCTCGTCGTCCCCCGAACGTAGGACCTACCGTTGCGTAGAGGCGAGGTTGTGAGGATCGTTTCTTTGCTTGTTTTTTTGTTCAGTATACGTTCGCCACTACAGGAGTGTGGAGAGTTGGAGCGACGTACGGTGCGGTGTGGTGATAAATGTGTGGTATTGTTCTGACTGGGCGAGTACTGAATGAAGGCAACGCAAAAACAAAAAAAAACATTTTCTTGTTTTCTTCCCTACTTGTATGTCAACTGATGGACGAAGCCACTACCTCACCTAACGGCACACTGAGTTCTATGAACGTCAGCTTCTTTTAAAGGTAGCAAACAGAAAACTTAACACTTCTTTTTTTTTTTTTTTTTNGGGGGGGGGGGGTAAGGACTGGCATCGTGGGCTCTTTTTGATGCCCTCTTTTAAAACTTTCTTCGTCTGTTACATGAGTGCATCGCTCCTCCTGTTTCTCTTCTTCATTCACCCTCCTTTCACTGCCACCACATTTGTTTTTGAGCATAATAAGAATTGAGTGTAGATGAATACGCGATCTTTGGCTAAGATCACCGCTGCTGTGGCCATGGGCTACGTTGCTTACCGCGGCATGCGGAGCTTCTTGCGGAATGAGATCACGGTGAGCATCACGGAGGTGGTGCATCTTCCCCCAAGCGACAAGATGCTAGAAGTGGATGAACAAGCCACGCTTGTGGGAGAGATTCAATGTGAGGCATATCTGATGCACAGCTACCGATTTCAGATGAAGCTCGCTGCAAACATTAAAGGAGGGTCCCTCCAACCGTCCTCTACACCCCGCTTGCGCCACCGCGTCATGCACATGGCGGAAAATGGCAAATACCGCAACGTGGTACCATACTCTGGAAGTAAAAAACGAGAAGGGTTTCCCAGCATCCTCGTGGATGACGTAAATTGCATGGTCGACTACTGGGAACTTGCGATGAACGGTGGTATATTTTTCACACCTGCCTGCATCGGAGATGAACTGCTGCTGCGTTACGAGGGACCAGTGAAGGAGGGATGTACGCTTAACACGGCTGTACGGAACTGTTACATACAGACCGATGGTACGCCGGGTCTGAAGCGTCTCTCTTTTGATTTGGTTGTGTACGACGTTGTACACGCTGTGAAGGTACACATTGAACTTCCTAATCGCTATTGTGAAGTTGTTGCTATCCACACTGGGGGTGTGGGCCGCATCCATCAGCCAAACCCGCATAAGCCTCACCACTTTGACTGGGAGGTCAATACCGTTGACGAAACGACGTGGAAGGGCGTTAAGGAGTTGGGTCCCGACGTGCTGCCGGAGGCCCGCCTCGCCCGCCGCGGCTTCACTGACGAGGACTTGACTGCTGCGATGGAGCGAGGCGGCAGGAAGGGCAATGACCCTGGTTCCATGGCCAATAACTACCCTCTCCGAGACGTGGCGGAGCTGCGGTTAGAGGAAAAGGGGGAAGATTTCGAGGAAGATGACTGCAGTGACGCAGCCGGTGGGATGCTGTATCACCGCGAAAGATCCGGGCTTCCTGACGGCAAACGCCTGCTTGACGCGCATTTTATACTCATCTTTGAGGAGCCGGATGGTGTGGAGTATGATTACGCCTCGAGTGATTCAGACCTTCCTGATGACGAAGACGAGGGTGATAATAGCAACAACAACAACAACGGAAGGACTACGAGGAAAAAGAGTGGTAGGAGTGCTTCTCATGCCGACGGCAAAAGTAGCAAAAAATCTCTGAAGCGCGAGGAGCGCGCACGCAGAAAACAACTGCAGCGTCGTAGTGTAGACTCTATCCTCACGGCTGGTCTGGGTGTCTCTACGCGCGTACCCTCTGTAGAACTGTCATATAGTGTTGTTGGTCTCGCGTCTGGAGTAACAGTGCGGAAGCTGCAAACAGTGAGCGACCGGCCGAACTGGGCGCCACGGTCTCTTCTCGACACATGTCTTTTGCGCTGGCTGGTTCCTGGCATCCTCCAGCGACGACTGGGGAAGTACGCCCACTACACCACTTGGTTCGTTCAGCCTGTTCCGGTTGCGCTGCTGTGAGATATGCACTCACTCCACCACGGAAGCGGAATGCATGTATTTGTGTGTATGTGTAAGATGGAGCACAAGAAGAGAGAGCCTTGCCTCAAATGGGTGTCATGACGTGCATACGTTGATAGTTTCGGTGGTACTGAGTGGGGCGGGGGCGGAATAAAATGTTCACAAGGCATATTATGGTATTGCGGTGATTATTTCTTGGCCTCATTGGTGCTTTCCTTTCCGCGTGGCCAAGCCCTCCCCGCTACAGGATTCTTGGCGGCGCGTGGGCCACGTTTATGCGCGCACACATTGTTCACGTACCGCACAAAGAGAAAAACCACGGAAGACAATAGCACGACAACGTGTAACAGTATGCAAAAAAGAAAGCGAGATGGTGGAGAGTGTAAATAACAGCTCGTTTTTTTTTTTGGCGTATGATGCTTTTTGAGCCTCTAGCACACGAATGAAGAATAAAAAGAGGGGGGGGAGTGCTGCAGGAAAAAGGGATAGGCGAAGAAAGAAAAATGGCCATATACGCTGGGGGGCTGTTCTTGGCGGTATTTCGGATAGATATATGATGTCCTTGTGCGAGTGTGGGGGGAATGAGAGTTGAAGAGAGAGTGGCGTGGCGCGCACGTCGTATTCAACCCCTCTTTTTTTCTCTCTCCTTTTCATATATTACTGCTGTCGCCGTGGTCATCTGCGGGGCACACGTTTTCTCACTCTCTCTGTTGCTTTCCCCTTATCCCACATCGCCCGGAGTCCCATTTCCGCTATATATTCCTTTCTGTTGTGTGTGTGTGTGTGTGTGGTATGCACTTTCTTCGCTTGTCGCTTTTAATGCGTGAATGTACTACTAAATAAAGCGCTGACAAGCATTGAACAGCCTCCGCCTGTTTTTTTTTTTGCCATTCATATCCATCTCCACCGACGCTTGTTGTTGAGAGAAGAAAAAGAAGAGGTGCAACTGCACAAGCGCAGAGAGAGAGAGAGAGAGGGAGAGGAGGAAAAAGCGAATGTCTCACCGCAGTGCCAGTGACGGCAGCACTCGGGGGAGTGCTGGTATGGAAGTTGAAGAGGATGAAGAAGACTTTTTGCCCGCCATTCCGGAGTCGCTCTTGCACCCCAGGCACCCTGGAGCGGCAGCACCGGAGGAGGAGGAGGAGGAGAAGACAAGGCTCCAAAAACGGCCCCGATCACCATTGGAATGCGACGAGGTGAAAGATGGGGAGCCGAATGCGATAGAGTTACTCATCGCGGAGGGTTACCCTGCTGCCTCGCTTTACGAACGGAGTTACCGCCACGACCGATCTGTGTGCGATATTGGTGTGGTGCAGGACGAGATGGGCGCCCTCCTCATCACCATTGACGTGTCTGGAACTCTGCGCACGTGGCGCAAGTTGCCTCGTGGTGTTTTTTTCATGTCTGAGCGTCACGGTCTGTTCCCACAGATTCCGACAGCAACAGAGTCAGGGGCTGTAGATAACAGAGAATCGGTAATTGCTGCGGAGCACTTTATACTTGTCGATCCCCTGACATCCAGCCTGTTTGTGGTGCGTACCACTCCGCATGTGGAGTTGGCGGCTGGTGTCGTTATGGTTGAGGTTGAGGTCCGTCGCATAAGCCCCGCTTTGATGGCGGTGGAGGCGCGTATTTCGTTTCAATTTACTGCTGCGCTGCGCAGCAGTGGGAAGTCAACGTCTTGCTGGGAGGAAAGTGTGACACGACGGCCTTTTCTGCTGCACCACGAGTATCAGCCGTACATTGTCTTTTTCACGGCGGAGCCGAACGGGGCGGCCGGCGCTGTGCTGATGTCGTGTGCCGCCGAAAGAGCATGGCGTACCGGTGCCGCCGCGGCGTCGGTGTTGGTGCCATCTGTTTCGCTGAGCACGGCGAACCCAGTTGTCTGCTGCCAGCAACACCGCCCAAGCGGGCTGGTTGTGCTGGTCGACGAAAAGGGTATCATGGATTACGCGCAAGTCGTTGCGCGGCCTGGTGAAAACGGGCGGATAGTTGCTTCTCTTCAAGTTGTGGCTGGTGCCCCGCCTCGTGGCTCCGCGGACCCCATGATGCTGCGCGATTGGATAGTGTTTGAACGCCGGCAGAAAACAGGATTTTTCACGCTTCTACGCGACGCAAGAAATCACGCGAATGCAGGCCGGGTGATGCTACCGCTTGGTGTCGGCTTCTCCCCGACCGGGCAGTACTTCGCGGTGGCGAGCGCCCTTCTCCGTGAAGGCGGCGTGTGCGTTTGTTGTCACCTCTTTGAGTTCGCCAGCGGTGCTTTTCTTTGCCGTGGCGAGGCGGAGGAAACGACCACTATGTCCCTGCGCAGCGCGAGCGACATGCAGGCGGCGCTACAGGCAATGCGTGGCGCTGTCTTCAACGTTGTGGTGGAGAACGCCGTGCGAAAGGCCCCGCAGGGTGGGGCAGGAGGTGTGTGGGTTTTTTTGCCGGAGATCACGCTTAGCACGGTGCACGAACGACAGGTGCGTGGTCGCCGTGTTTTTGTATTCCGCGCTGCACCGGAGCCAACAGCAACAACAACAACAACAAGAGGGGAAGGCGATCTCATGAGAGGGACGGTAAGTTGTGCGGCCACGGCTTTGACTCCGTTTCACATGGAGCAACTGCTACGTCCAATTGGAGATATGGAGAATAACATTCGTGAGGCAGACCTGCCAGTAATTCCACCACCACAGTCATCGCTACCAGTAAACGTATCTTTGTCGGCAGCTCCGTGTGCACACCGGCACTTTGCTGCACCACTGACGCTGTTGCGGTTGACAGTTTCGGCAAGTCAGGCTCTCAAGAATCTCGTGATGCAGTCTCCACTCGGGTCTGCCCTTTCGCAAGAAGATGTCAAGAGACTTTTCGCCGTGCCGAGTAGCGCAGCGATTGCAGCCGCTGGCTTAAATGGGTTGAGTGGCTCCGTTGATCCGACTTTATGTACCACCTCACTCAGTGGAGCAGCCCTGCTGCTGTACACAAAGTACGAGGCGCCTCTCGATAGTATTCCGCTGATGACAGAGAATGGTTCAGACGACAGCAGTGGTGATGCCAATGCTGCAATGACGGAGCGGGTGCGCCGCGAGCGGTTATTGCTGGAGCTGCATCAGAAACGCGACTTTGATTGTGGTGATCTGCAGCAGTTGCAGTCCTCGGTGCAGCGTGTGGTGCCGCGAGGGGCTGTGGAGGAGGGCGAAGAGCAACAGGGTGGTGACGAAATAGTCCATACGAAGCACAACGACAGTGAAACAGATAGTGCCGTAGAGGAGCGACGAGTGCAACACATCATTGCGTCTGCGTCCTCGTGCCCCGTTAAGTGGGGAAATGTTGTGACTCGGGTGTTAATTGTTGTGAGCTGTTTTGGGACAATCACAGTGTGCCTCTTGCCGCAGATATCCCCAAAAGCTGTTGCGAACTTCATAGGTCTTGCGCGGGAGGGCTTCTATGACGGCCTGACCTTCCACCGTGTGGTGCCAGGCTTTATGATTCAAGGCGGTTGCCCGCTAGGCGACGGCACCGGCGGCAAGAGCATTTTTGGCGACACATTTGAGGATGAGGGACTGAACGTGATGGAGTTCTTCTCATACCCGACGGTGTACTGGCTCTGTATGGCCAACCGTGGCCCTAACACGAACGAATCGCAATTCTTCATAACGGTAGGGGAAGTGGCGCCGTGGCTGAATGGCAAGCACACTGTCTTTGGATTTGTGGTGGGGGGAAAACAGTTGGTGCAGGCTATTGTGCAAATGGCCCGAGACGCTGATGAAAAGCCGGTCACACCTGTTGTGATTGAACGTGTTGTTGTAAAAGAGGGTTCAATGGATGAGTGATGACGCCTCTTATTTTCGGAGATAAGAATGAAAAAGGAGAAATGAGGAAAGCTGGTTATTTCTTTTCCTTCTCCTTCTCCTGCTGCTGCTGATTGTGGATATTTTTTAATGAATTACATTCGTCATTACCGTCTTCACCATCTTAATCATACTTTTACTGTTTTGTTTTGCTCTTCTGCCTCATTGTGTGAAACAGTGTAAGGTAAGTGAGAAGGATGGAAGGTGGTATGTTTAACTATGACAATCTGATATGGACTATATCGTTTCCTCTCTTTTGCTCGATCGCCCTGTGGTTTTCAATGGACTTGGCACTGCTTGTACGATCAGAAGGAGGACGGTGCAGGCGGGAGGCGATAAGGGAATCCATCGCGGCAATGGAGCGGCGCGGTGAGCCTGTGCTTGCTGGACTGCGCCGAAACAGCAAAGCTGTCCTGCGCCGCGCACTTGTCGTGGTGGGCGGTGACTTCGCCAGGTCGCCGCGGATGCAATACCACGCGGCAAGTCTTGCTGCATGTGGCATGTTTGATGAAGTGGTACTTGTAGGGTTTGACATGGGCAACACCCTAATAGACGCGTTAAAAACGACCACTACGGCAGGCCACAAGAATAATAACAATAGCAGTGGTAATGGGTCAGAGGTAACCTGTGTTATAAAGACGGAATATTTGATTTCGCCAATTCTTCCACCTTCGTGGTTTAGTTGGGTCTTTCCGCACCCTCGTCTGTATTGGATTGCCTCTGCCGTGTACCGCGTGTGCGTTAGTGCAGTGGCGTTTGCCTGGGTCCTCATATGTGCGTCGACGATGGTGGTGAATGGTCGTGGACAACTGCTGCTTGTGGATCTCATTTTAGTTCAGTCGCCACCAGCAGTGCCCTTTGTTCCTGTCATAAAGTATCTTGTCCGTCCGTATGTGTTTATTGCTAACACAGTGCATTATTACTTCTTTATTGTACCTGCCTCGTGGATGTCGCACGATGCAATGAGCGAAATTCGCGGGGGGCTGAAACTGCAGCAGCAGCAGAAAGGAAACACAAGTGAAAACGCCGTCAAGGCCTCCTTGAGGTCGGTGATGTGTCCCGCTATTGTGGTGGACTGGCACAACTTCGGTTACACCATCATGCAGAGCGACGGTCGACCCTCCTTAATGGTCTGGTTGTACCGACTTATCGAGTGCAATCTTTGTCGTGGCAACCGTAACTTAACAGTGAGCAAAGCAATGCGGACAATCCTTCTTTCGCCAAACATGAAGGTATCTGGAACGACAGGGGAGAGTGGCTCAAAAATTGCTGCAGATGTGGCGGTGTTGTACGATACTGCACCGTCTTTCTTTGGCCCGGTGTCACGTACCCGCTTTGCTGCGGAGGTCCTTATGCCCGCATTGAGACTGACACGCGCCGGCCGCGAAGAGAAGATTGGCCTGTCGCCGCCACCAGCATGGTTTCTGCACGATGTGGAGCGTGAAGAGGCGGCTGTAAAGAGCAACCGCAGCGGACTGTTTATGATTGCTGCCACCAGCTGGACGGTGGACGATGACTACAGCATTGTGGTGGACGCGCTTAAACGCATTGATACTCGCCTGCAGCAGGAGCGGAAAAAAGAGAAAAATGGATTACATTCATTGAAACCCCTGTGGCTGCTCGTGACAGGAAAGGGTGCTTCACGGGCACGCTTTGAGCAGTCCGTTGCTGCGGCCCACCTCTCGTCCCTCGTGACTGTGACAACGATATATTTCCAGTCGTACACGCACTACGCAATGGCACTGGGAGCGGCGGATGTGGGCCTGTGCTTGCACCACTCCTCCAGTGGTCTCGACCTGCCTATGAAGGCGGTGGACATGCTGGGCTCTGGTCTCCCTGTTGCTGCGCTGCGCTACGACGCCCTCGCAGAGTTGTTGGACAGCAAGCGAGGTTGGATGTTCAGTAATGCAGAAGAGTTGGAAGAAATTTTCTGTCAGAACCTACTCCCTCGCTTCGAACAAGGTGACGCCGCGGATTCACTGGGTGAAGCCCGTTTCCATGTGTTGCAGAGTCGGTGTGAGACATGGGACGATAAGTGGCGATCCGTGGTGTTGCCTCTCTTGCTGGAACTGCTTTAGGGCGTATCACTGGGAACGCAGAAAGCAGCGAAAGTGAATAAAAAGACAAAATAATATTGTCTATCTGGTTTTCTCGTAATTCTGGACGTTGGCACGTTGCGGCGTTTCCCACTCTTTCATTTCATTTCCCTTTCACTTCCGTCTCTGTTTCTCCCTCTCTTTTCTGGCGCATTGCCTTCAAACGCTCACATAAACCGTGACTATATATACATGTAGAGAGAGAGGGCGCAGCATGGTTTTCTTTCAACGTGGCAGGTGCTTCAGCGTTACGCCGAGGTTCCAGCAGCCCTCTCGCTCGTACCACGTTTCTGTGTGGTTTAGGCACCGCGCGCTTCACCGCCCGAGCGACCACAGACAGTCACAGGCAGCGGGGCGAGTGGCGGCTGCGTCGGCAGTTGGGACGGGTGCACTACCCTTTGCATCCACCACCACCACCAGCAGCAGAACAACAGATATGCAGAGTAGAAGGACCGACACTACGACCATCAATAGTGGCGAGCAGCAGCAACCTGTGGCAGGCCCCTCGTGCCCGCAGGCGTATATGTACCGCATGAGGACCGGTCGCTTTGATAGTCTGACGGCTCTCTTGTCAATGCCCTACGCGGTGGCACCGCTGCGCATCCTGACGGACCTCCTCTGCGAGGTGATGCAGCTGAAAGTGGATCTGGTAACAGAAGGAGAAGGTGGGAGTGATGCAGCCTTGGAGCGAAGTGATGCATTGGAGACGCTTGAGCGCATGACAAAGTCTCTTTCGGACCCGCTTGCGGTTTCCCACCTCCTCGCGAAGGCAATTGAGACAGTGCGGGAGGCAGTAGAGGCGGCGAGCGCGGTTGGGGACCACCTCAGTGAACGTGAGGTTCAGAGAGAGCTACGGGAGGTGGAGCACTTTATTGAGCAGCTGCGGCAATGGAATGCGGCCGCTCTGAGGAGCACCACTATCACCTGTGTGACAACGCGGGATGCGAGGTGCCAGCGACTGTTGAGCTGGAGGTTTCCAAACACTGTCATGGCGGAAATTTGGCATGCGCTACTTGAACTCTGCAGTCTAACAGGGGCCTTCGCCGTTGCTGTGGAGTCCCTTAACCAACTCATTGACTTGAGTGAGCTGGTTGAGCGTGCAGGAGAGAGAGGGTGTGATAGTGAGCTGCCTGATAAAGACAATCAAGAAAGAGAAGCGGAGAAGGAAATCCAACAGCAAACCTTCACGCTGGACGGTGTCGTGGAGTCGGTGGAGGAGGAAGCACGAGACACCTTTAGACCAGTGGCGGCACTTGATCACATTCGCGCCATAGAGAGTTGTGTGCTTACGCGAAAGTTTGACATCGCCCACTCGCTATATCAGCGGTACATGCAACATGCTGAGAGCGGTGCTTTCCCCCTCGTGCCGGGTGACATCGCCGCTGCATTGGTTGGACTTGCGCACGCATGCGACAACGTTGCACATTTTGCGATGCTACAGGAACTTTTCGTTGAGAGCGAGGCGGCACAGATTGTCCCTGTATCTGTGGAGTTGTACACTGCTATCATTGACGCTGTGAGCCGCGCTTCGGAGCATCCGCAGCGCATGGCCATTGCCCTCGCGCTCTATCGCCGCTTGCGCGATGGGGGCCTGGCGCCAGATGTTGGCACATACGCTGCGCTGATAGCCTGCTGCGCCTCCACAAGGGAACCGACACACGCCTTTGCCTTTTACCAAGAGGCGCGGCAGCAGTGCGGAGTGGACCAGTTCACGCCGGCGGTGTACACCAATTTGCTGCTTTCCTACGCGAGGGCCGGTTACGGAGCGGATGCACGACAGACGTTGGAAGTGCTTGTCGAGGCTGGTGCCCCACTCACCCGCGGGGCTTTCCACGCCGTGCTGTCGTGCGCCGTGACGCTTCGGGAGGCCGAGGAAGTGCTGCAGCTCATGCAGGCGAAGTACGGGATTGCACCAACACCGCAGACGTATGCGTACCTGGTGAGGGCAGCAGCGGCGCGCCCCGCTGGTGTCAGTACTGCTCTCCACTTGTTCGACTGGCATGAGCTTGCCCTGCGGAGTTTGCTAGAGGCCAGCAACACCGCCACACATGCTGTACCGGACACCATTCCTTTCAACGCACACTCGTCGAGACGCACGGCGCTAGGCGTAGGCGATACTGCTGCTGTATTGGAGGAAGACATTCTTACACGCTATCCAGCATACGGTGAGGCCGTCGAGGGGGCGCTGCTGCGGTTGCGTGTTGACCCAACTTTGGATCCGCGCCTGGAGCAGTATATGCGGCCGCTTCTACGCATCGCTCAGCTGCGCATGAATGCCTTCACGGGGATGGCCCCGCAGACGCCCACACGTGTTCCAAAGCGAGCTGCAATCGCCGTGCTGGCGGCCGATGTGCTCGCAAACATTGAGGAGTGGTTCCTACCGTTCGTTTCACACTACTCCGCTGTTGTAATTCCATACTCCTCCCTCGTCGCTTTGCGGAGCGGAGGTGGGCGACGGGTGGACACAACCTTTGAAAAGGGGCCGCATCACTTGCTAAACGACTCAGAGTGGCGTGAAACAGGTTCGGAGCATCACATCATGGTGGAAAGTCGGCGGCGCCTATTGACCAAATTTTTGCAAAAATACCGTGACGTCATTCATTTGGTTTCCATCGCGGATGAACTGGCGCTGAGTCGCGACTGTGATCGCTATGGCATTGGTGTGAAGAAAACATTTTCTCGATCCGCTGCTCTTGCACTAAACTTGGCGCGTATGGATATTGCCAACGGAACGAAAGTTTATGCAGAGCAGAACTGTGACATTGTCTTGGTGTCAACCAATTTCGAGAAGTGCGGAAAGTACGTAGTCAACCTGAAACGGGAACTGTTGTGTCAGGATGGCAGCAACATCAGCAGCAGATGTGGGAGCAGTAGTGGCTTCAAAGGCCTGGCGGATGGGCTCCGGCGGGTGTGGTATCATAATCCACGCACAAGCCCGCAGTGGAGACCGCCACAGGTGTCTGTTGTGTCGCTTGTCGACGGCTGTGTGGATCATGAAGCATGTCAGTCGACTCGCTGCAATCCACAAGCTGGCAACGCAGCGATCTGAGTGGTTTGTTGCAAAATTACATGGAATATCACACATGCTACTTCTCTTCTATTATTTTTCTTCCAACATGTTGTGCTTTACTTTTTTTTTGTCATATTCACCTATTGATTCTTCTTTCTCTTTCTATATCATACCAAGAGAGAGGTGGGAAGGTGGGGGGGCTGAGGAAAGGAAGCAGAGGTATATCGGCGAGAGAGGGGGCATAGGAGCACCATAATGGCGGCATCAAAGTCTAGGGATACAATTTGTGACGCAGCCATCATTGGCTTCGCTCTCAATAGTGACGGCTCCGAGGCAGTCTTCTCGCCCAATAATCATTTGTTGCACATTGTGGATTGCAAGAACAAAAAGGACTGCGGCACATGGGAAATTCGCGCCACTTTGGAACAGCATGACCAGTCCGTCTCTGCCACCGCCTGGCATGGTGGAACGAATCGTATTCTCTCTTGCGCGCAGGACCGCACTGCTTTTGTGTGGTACCGCAACTCAAAAGGAAACTGGAAGCCGCAGATGGTGATGCTCGACGCAGGTGTGAAGCGGGGACTGACGAGCTGCGCGTGGAGTCACTCAGGTTCCAAAATTTATGTTGGCTCCGCCGCATCCAACATTGCTGTAGGGCGCTTTGAAACGGAGGATGAGTGGTGGATCTGCCGCTTGCTAGAGGGACACAGTAGCACAGTGACGGCGCTCGCACCGCATCCATCAGACGATGCGCTACTGGCCTCTGGAGGCACTGATGGAAAGCTTATGCTTGTCTCAACATACATGAAAAAGTTAGATGGTAGAAAGTGCAAGTCTTTTGCTCACGTCTACCTCGAGAAAAACTTTGGCGCGTGGGTCCACGCAATTGCGTGGGCGCCATCCGGTCAGCGCCTCGCCGTCGCTACACATGATAGTCGGGTGCACGTCTTCGATGTGGGTTTATCTGGCAGTTTCACACATGACGCGGTCTCTCCAACGCTGCACACTATCACCATGTCCATACTTCCGCTGAAGGCACTTGCGTTTGTGGCAGAGGACCACCTCGTTGGTGGAGGTTTTGACTATTACCCGGTTCTCTTCACCCCTATTGAGGCAGGAGCAGGATGGGAAATGAGCGGAAAGTGGACGATAAGCCGAGCAAAGGGGGTGAAAACGGCGCAGCAAATTGCCCGCGAAAAGTTTCAAAATGAGGCTCGTATCGGGCAGGCAGAGTTGATTGAAGATGAGCAGAATCGCCACAAGAACACCATTAACAGTGTCATTAGCCTGTTTGGCCCCAACGCCCCCACAATACCAGACATAAATGATCCTGTTTTCGCGACAGCCAGTCTCGATGGACGGGTTGAGATGTGGACTATGGGGGAAGTCATGCGTACCACCTAGCAAGTGGGAAAACGAAAACAACAGCAGCTGAAGGCAAGTAGGTGTGAATCACACAGCTCTTCTTACGGGTGAGGTCCATCGTATCGTACATACCTGCATATAATTACAAACGGACACATACACACAAAATGACCTGAGGTGTGGAGGCATTTTTTATTTTGCTTCAGTGAGAGTTTTAGATGACCCAACCTTTGATCGGGTGGAATCTATTTATTATACAGTTTCCTCTTTCCTTCTTGTATTCCTGCAGCTGCGAAAAAAAGGGTAGCCGGCTCGCCACGGAGAAAAGGGTATGTAATGCTGGCGGAGCCGGGAGATTCTGTTCTTTTTCACGGTAAGGTGGAGAAGATAGGTGCGGACGGCTCCAGCCTTCCCCGTGGCGTGTTTGTGACGCCATCAAGCCTTCTTGTAAGTCTTCCCGCTGGGGGTGTTACCCGCACCGTGCAACTTTCTAATGTGCTGGAACTCGTCCTCACGATGCCTGAAGGAAGCAGTGACCGTTTCCTCTGCATGATACGGGTGCGAAACGAGGCACTGCTGACTCTTAGCTTCACGAGTCGCGAGGACGCGGACCGTTTCTCCGATGCTATTCGCCGCGCGGCGAGTCACGTAAGTGTTGTTCACAGCAGTGAAGAAGCCGTGCAAGAGAGGCACGTTACGTTAGATGCACCACGCCCTACAACGAAGGGGGTGCGCTTCGCTGACCCGCCGGCGTCGCTGGGCGGCAGCGGCCACCGCCTCTCGCCGCAGCAGTCTTCGTTGGGGCCAGTGAGCNCCGGCGTCGCTGGGCGGCAGCGGCCACCGCCTCTCGCCGCAGCAGTCTTCGTTGGGGCCAGTGAGCCACAGCAGCAGCAGCAGCCACACCGCCGCCGCGCCGGTTGAGCCACTGGAGGCGGCAGGCGCGTGGTCGCCGGCGGACGTAAACATAAACAGCCGGTGGGACCGCACGGGCCTCTTTGACGCGCCATCGGAGTCGCACGTCACGCCGTTTCGCCGTGAGTCAACCCACCGAAACCCCGACGAGTACAAGACTTCACCCCGCGTGGGAACTCTCGACCGTGCGAGGGAGGCATCCATGTACCAGAGCGATGTCACGCGTCCTCTCCAGTTGCAGCAGTCTGTGGCGGCGGGCAGCTACACCAGCCAACAGCTGGAGCAGCGCGGGCAGCAGGTGGAGCCGCTGGGCGGTGTTCGTGCCAAGCGGGACGCAGCTGCGAGTGTCCAGCAACGTCTCTTGACTGATTTAGAGTTGCGTGAGCAGACTGTGCGTCGCCTCCAGGGAGAACTCGAGGAGAAGAACGCATTTATCGATGACCTCAAGTCGGCCCTCCGCTCACAAGAGGGCGTCTTCCAAGAGATGCTTAAGGCTACAGAACAACTGCGCCTTGTTGAAGGCGTGAAGAACCAGATGGAGAAGCAAGTGGTGTTGCTGCGTGCAGAAGTGAAGCACATGGAAGATCGCATCAAGCAGCAAGAAACTGAACATTCTGGTGAACTGGCGACAAAACTGGCGGAGCTGCATGAGGCACACACGAAGGAAGTGGAGGCGGTGCAGGAGGCATTCGCGCAGTATGATGCTGATATGACGGAGTACGTGGAGAATCTGCGGAAGGATAGGGATCGTGAAGTGCACAAGTGGAGTGAGCAGGAACGGCTGTTGCAGAAACAGATTGAGAGTCAAAAGCGTGAAATTGCGGAACTGACAAACGCTCTTGCGTCACGAGGTGGTAGTCCATCTCTGGGCAAGGCGGCAACAAGGAATGACAAGACGCTAAAATCCCGTGTCTTGCTATCGCCGTCGCAGCAAAAGGGTGGGAAGGCACGTCAGGTCTGCCCCTCAGCATCCGAACTAGAGCTCCAAATGCTGTCACTAGAAGAAGAGCATGAACGAAGCCGTCTGTACGCGAAGCTGCGCCAATACGCCCGAAGTCAACGGCGTACCCCCAACAGGGTGCCATTTGACGGAAAAGACGACAAC